GTTTGGTATCAGAAAGGACTACAATATCAATGAATGGACCCATAAAGTAGGGCAGGAAATGTTAAACTCACTTGAAAATTTGCAACATTGCAGCTGCACGTTCACAAACATTGAATAGCCAAATTAGTAAGTTTCATACTACAATGTTATGTTGAATGTTTGCTATAATGCAAATTTGGATGTTTCAAAATTTTGCAGTATTGCCCACGAAAACAGCTTGTCGATAGACGTTGCAATTGAAAATTGTTTGGATGCTCAAGTGCAAAGGACTGTCAGTCATGGTGCTTATGGAAATGTAAGGTTACAGTTCTTACAATAATTTCCTTTCTCGTCTGGAAGAAAATGATGCGTAACTTAAACATGGAATGTCTTGGAACTTCTCCGAACATGTATAAGTTATCTAGCCTTGTAACCAAGCAACATTGGTTTCTGTTTCTCAAACTCAAATTTAATATTCAAGGATGAAGCCTGCGCTACGTTGTAGGGCAACTCCTCCTTAGATGTAGGATTTCAGACATATGCTGTATAGTGTAACATGCGTATGTCGTCGTGTGTGAAGGCAACTATGAACTGTAGAAAATGTCTTGTTTAGTATCTCGAAAATGTAAAGGTGTTTATACTGAGCCGATGTTACAAAATTGTGTTATGAATGCATTGATATTTTAAAAAATTGAATTTATATCCCCACGGTTCGATTTCATTAAACATGTGCCCATAAGTAGGAATCCGATAGTCGACGCCGAATCTATTGTCAATTTAAGCTGTCAAAGTTTCAAAATATTCAATGACTTAATAAATAACATGGAAAACGCAATGTTCGACTAGAGGTGCAGAGATAGTAAGAAATATTAGATTGAAGTGCATTTTCCGATGACAGCGACTAGTTTGTCTGAGTTCAAAATTGATTCGAGATAAATCGTATTATGCTAATTTTCTGATGAGGCTATATATGTGGGATTTCGACATGTAGGACCCTAGGAAGGGAAATAATATTAAGAGAGATAGCAAAGCGAATGAGCAAGAGATCTTGGTTTTAAGTGAGGACACAGGAACAATTGGGCCGCTTCACAATCGGAAGGATAGCGATCTCGAGATTGGCTCGAGCGTTCACGACGATATCTGGAGATCGTGCGCAGGGACAATTGACCGAGCGTAGGGATTGCATGAACGGGATATTTATAACTGTGTCGAGTACGAACGACTGGCGAGAATGTTTAGGAATGTGTCCGAGTGTTTTAAGTACTTGGCCCGCCAAGGGTGAAGTCACGTGTGAAATGAGCGACGGAGGAAGGAAGACTGCGTATGAAAGAGGAGAGAATGCAAGGTTTAAATAAGGATACGGGTGAAGAAGTGCATAAAGAGTATGAAAAGATTCTAGAGAGTCCATTGCGTAGAGAGTCTAGTGAGCCTTGGTGAGATTATATAGATTACGTAGAGGTCTGTAGTCCTAATGGAGTTCTAAAAGGATATAATCAGAATTGAAAGAAAGACGAAGCTGCATTTTATCTGAAATAAGTCTGTTTTGATATAAAAAGGTGTCGTTGCTTATCAAGCCATCAGATTTTTGTCTGCGAAGGGAATATCGGGGAATAATCCCATGTAAAATAAGGTAATACAAAAACAAGGAGGGGCCCTTCATCCACGGGGTTGGTATAATGTCTTGCTTTTCCTATTGTACCTACGGTGCTGCTAGTTGATATCCCTTGACCGTTGGGCTATAGTATGTAGTAGGCAGAAGGACGCAAAGAAGGATCTGTTTCGTCCTGAGACTGCTTATGGACTTGCCGTTAAAGCTTCCTTGTAGGCCCTGCCTTGGACGGGGTACACATAGGTAGCATCGTGTGTTCACTGAGGACTTACGAGCAAGTCCTCCAGCCTTCTTCTAGTGGGAATCCAACTATTTGCGGTAGTGTGAACGTTGATCGCTACAAACAATGTAATAAAGGAATAAAAGAGGTACATGATCCTCCGTTTATTAATTTCCGTCTCTTTCAAATTCCATAGACGGTTCATGGGGACTGACGGTTGAATTTCACATACTGCCAGACCGGAAATAGTCCAAAGGAAATACGACAATATCGGATACATCCCCGGGCATTATCCGACGGCCGACATCAGAGTCAATTGTTGTGTTGACTTCCCCGTTGGTTGGACAATGCCTGTTTCAGTAACAGATCAGAATAAAAGCATCCAATATCTGCCAGTATGCCCGTAAGGAGAGCCGCGTATTGCGCAAAGCAGCTCGGAATAGAAATTTGCAAATTTCTATATAATAATAAACAGAGATGTCTATTGTTTCTTCAAAAAGGCGAAAATACTGCTGTATCTATACATGGAGCCTTGTGTTTTGGGCAAATTTTCAATCACTACTTGTTAATTAATATCGGTAAATTATAATCTTGCAAATTCAGCAATTACACGTCGAAGGTACAACATCATTTTATAACCGGGCAGACAGCGATTTCACCTAAAACAGGAGTAAGAAGGAACTTTGGAATATTATAATCCGATGAGAGATTTCGTTTTCGAGAAAATCAAGTTTGACTATTATTCCACAACACAATGCAATTTACTTGCAGTCTAATGTATTTATAATAGTTTCAAAGCTATCTAATAAGCTAGACAAGAAGTCATTTCTGTTAGAAAACTTAATCGGAGAATACGAAATTCTCATTACGAAGTTGCAACACTTCAGATTATTTAGAAAGAAGCTGTCATATTCTAGACGAATACTAGGAAGCAGCATTATACGTAATCGATTCATAGAGTGAGAAACAGCCAATTGTGTTATACTTAACCTGATAAATTAGTATTAGGTTAGTCATTATTCTCCTACCTTCAAGGGTCAGAGTATTTGAAGGACGCATGGTTTTGGTGGGCATAGTGTAAATCGGAGGACGTTTATTGATTTCTTCAAGACGGATTATGTAATATTCATTCCATTTAGATATGAAATAGTTATTCGTAATGCCAAGGGACGATCTACCACATAGGTAATGGAGCACCTCGAATGTAAAAGGCCATTTAAAATTCAAACAGAGGTGAGAAAAATATTCATTGCTACATTAGTGTCGTTTACGCAAGGAGGAATACACATTTTAAATTTTAATCTACTGTTGGTGAGAGTTTACTTGAGTGATCTTACCATAAACAAACTGTCGTCTGGTTTTTGGTAAAATGCTGTAATTCAGTTTCAATAATATATATTGATAGCGGGAGATAGAAGAAATAATACCGCTCAACTATTTTTTTCTTTTTTTTTTATCTTCTAATAGGAGCAGTTTGGTTTACCTGCGGAATGTATGAATCGTCCGCAATAACAGGGAAGGGCTCGGGATTTTGAACCGCAGTTGCTGAAACAATAATTGCCGTTTAGCCTTAATTTTCAAGGTACATGCAAATATTATTGGTATTACTGAGCGGAAATTTTCGTGTACGTATGTCTACTTTGCGTTGGATACAGAAGATGTCGCCGCTCGCTTACTGTTAACATGCTTGACAGTATGACGGTCAGTGATACAAGCTCTAGAGTAAGATTTTATTCCATTAACCCGTTAGAAGCTCATGGAAATACCGCATTTGCGAGACACGCACAGATAGGGTTGAATGCTACCAGAAATTTTGTATATCTTCAGCGCCGAGATCGAACAGAGAGAAAATGCCCGGAAAGAAGGCAAAACCGAGGCATTCTTCTACCCCGTATGTTCTCGATTTCCTTTTCCGTATTTCCTATTGCAGCCAGATTTGTGTATTTTCCTGAAAACACTGGTAAAATGTTATCGTAAGTGATCCCAGGACAGATAATCAAACCACGGAAGACTACGTCATATGATGGATTGATTGTTTAAATAAATGTAATTGTTTCTTGGAGCTACTCTAACAATATTCAACGCATGAAGCACGATCTCTCACATCGCTGCTGATCTGTAATACAAAATTATCTTCGAAACCGCAGCTAAACAATTTTCAATATGATGTATCAACTGAGAACGAAACTATGCTTTTAGAAATGGGGTACCTATTAAGGCAGATAAGTTGATAACATTACCTTTTTGAAAATTTTGCTTAGGACTAAAGCAGATTTTGCTAAACGATTGGAGACTAGTCTTATCAGATATTGTAATTGGGTGGAATTTTCTTATTGCCCGACAGATGCCATCAACGACAGAGAAAGTGTATATGGTGCATTGTATTTAAGATATAACGTACAGACTGGTGATGGCCAGAAAAGAAGTTCACCACTTCATGGACTTCCATTAACATGTGACTACCGATAGTTACAAACACGTCAGAAATATTAACCTTACTATTTGATAGATAAGAGTTAATAATTGTATGTGAGATATGGTATAAGTAGAAAGAAAGAAGTTTATGATTGGTTGAACGATGTTAAGGATATTATGCTCTTATTACCTAGGGGATACTCAACATGATTCTGAGGAATCGTGCCGAATGGATATAATGAGGTGAAGGTAGGTTAGTCCGCCATAGAATGATGAGAACAGTGTATTGATCTCTCAGAATATTTTAAGTTGTCACACATTATATCAGTTTCCTTACCAATGGTCAGTTTACTTAGATCCCTAGGAACCCATTTATGATTAGGAAGTCTTGAAGATTGCAATTTCTGTAACACAGCTGACAATAAAAGCACTGTCCATGAGTTATCCCAGTAAATACTATTGTAATATTTATATACCTGTATATTTGTATATTAGGTCTTCACTATCAGCAATCAATATATTTGCACCTTACTGAGTCTGGAATGAAATAATATACTATGAAAGCATAAGTATAGGTGATATTGTTGAACTTTCATTAAATTGAACAATTCTTTGTAATAATTGAATTAGTTATAGTGATAAACCATGTGGTGATAGCAGCTAAATAAATTAAATGTACGCATTTATTCATTGTGCATATATATACATTCATGTAATTCGGATACTTATAGACTACATTGCAAATAATGAAATTTTGTCATTTCTTTTCCCTTTCAGATATCAAATGAGGTAGCATACGCCGAGCTATGTTTAACACGCCCAACAGCGTTGTCAACATTAGTAACCGATGCGAAATTGACAAGTATCAGTGGAATTGGAAGTTTCAGTGCACTTGATGGTTATGGTAGTGGGATGATTGTAGGTGCTCAACCATGCACAAGAGAAGCTACAATCTATGCTTGCATAGACCACAATGCCAAGCCATTAAAAGTGGATGCTTCAACCACTTCACCTTTCACATTAGCATCATTATCAACAAGAAGTACATTTCAGGACTGTAATGTTTCAACAATGAGTGGAAAACATTCGACAAGGGAAGTAGTTACTGTGCGTACGCCATTAATATCAACCCAGGAAAGTTGTGTATAGGGATGCGATTCTGACGCGCTGTCAGCACATGTCGACGAATATTATGTTTGATGTGACGTGCGCGTCTTATTACTAAGTGTGTTTCTTTAATTATTTGTCTTACAATGAAACGTACACATATGCTATTTAATATACTACAAGCGTGTAAAGTAGTTAACAGGATTATTGTCGGGTGGCCTGAGCAATCATTAACTGTCAAATATTGATACAGTAGCAAATGGATACAAGAGAACAATGAATCCTCTTACCCTATTAATAATAAAAGCGTGATATTAATACTAACTTACAAATTATTCAAGGATATAGATTAGTTCAACTTAAATTTAGTAAATGAGACTGATTTAAATATATTTTAGCTTTTCATGAACGTGTTTGTGAGTACTCAGTAAGTACCCTGTTTCCTGTGAGCAATTAAATTGTTTATGCTACACTCGCAAATATAAAAAGTAACTAGAGTCTGATAGCATGATTTAAGGACTAACAGTTGGTAACACAAGAGAATAACTTGAAGGTAACACAAAGTTGATAAAGTCTGCTTCATAATAGCATTAGTTTCGTAACAATCGAGTTTCGAAATTTTTGAATAATCGTCAGCAATGGAAGACTAACATAAGTTTCTGGACTTTGAAGCAGTACTAATAATTTATATTTCTTCTTATTTCCACAATCAATTCATATAACAAATTTCGATACTAATTTCAGAAAATTACCATTCAATGGAAGAGCTACCATCCTTTCTTCTAACTTAAAGAGAGTATATTCCTTAAATCACCTTTGACCACGTATCTGTGGGGTGGTGACAAGTATATACCTTCGTCTTAAGAAATTGACGACAGAGATTCGACTGAGTGCGAAGGTAATTTGGATAGATAGTAAACTAAATCGACTTAGTAGAGAGGATTTGCGTCATTGCACAAGGGAATGTTAATAATGTCAAAAGCAATACTGCAGACAACCAAGAAGATATCTTTCATATTACTAATAAATATAACTCCATAAATTATGCACTCTTCCAATCATTTGTTCGTATCGTTAGCATTAGTAAAGAAAATGTAAATGTTCGTAACATGTATGCTATGTATAAGTTCTTCAACTATTTGGCTTAAAGTCTCTATACGTATGGCGTTATGAAGTTGTTGACAGAAATGGTTACGAAGAAGTGTATGAGTTTCTGAAGATACTTAATTAAGTACAATAAAAATTAAACGAATCCTCATCATAACAAAAAATCAAATAAAGCTAATGAATCAAATCTCACATCACAACACAATTTCGTATCTTACCTGGCTTTATGTATTATATTTAGCATTCGCAAGTATGTATTATACATAACTTATTATAAACAGAAATTGCATATTTTAATTCGAAGTAACCTGAATTTTATGTAGCAGTAGCAATAAGTTCATACAGAATTGTGCGTTACTCGAAGGGCATATAAGTGTATTGTATAAGAGGAATATGGTTAGAATACAAGAAATGTTTTTTAATTGTACACTTATGTCTATAATTTACATTTAGATTAACTAATAATCCTTTAATACTTCACAAACCACATTTTCTGCTGTCATTATGGACAAATTCTACTTTTGCAGCATTCTTATATACCTCACTTCATTTTCAAACCGTGAAATACAATTTTCATGCAGCACATTAGTTATTACAATACTATTTAACTTTATTTTGTACATGACGCTTAACTTAATTAGAATCAATCAAATATTCTTAAGAGATATGGGAGGTGCGAATAAATATTTTTAATCAAAGTAAAGCGATAAGATACTACTGATGCTCACCCACATAGTCCTTGGAAAGTGCTGTGGTTCTAAATATCTGGTAAAAACTAATTCTAGCCTTTTGATTTATGCCATTCATTCCATACCTTCCTGACTAATATCCAAGCATATTATAAACTATCGCTGCCTACGTCTTCTGTACACGCAGTTGTCTCCATACCAGCATTTGAACATGATAGGTTGCTGTCAGTTTCACGTATTCATATATATGTAAAGCAGACCTTGCACATCAAAATGTGACTAAAACGTTTGGTACGCCGTGCATATGGAGCATCCCGCTTTAGTATACCTAAATGAGTCATTGGATGAAACAAATATTACTTTAAATCTTAATTTCGTCCAAGCTCAACAAATAAATGACGCGTCATAAAACTAGGTAATTCCGAAAGTACATACCAATGCTCCTCTTATGGTAACTTTTACCGACGCTCCAAGCCTAGAGGAAGACCGTCACTTTTGGTCAAAACACGTTACTTCACGTACAGCAGTTATCGTCCCAACTTCACCCAAAAGAAGGCAGGTCAAAGATGCACGGGAAGGTGGTTGCGACGATTAGGATGACGCTGATTGGAAAATTATTATTTCTTACAAGAAATAATCATTGCGTACCTCCGTTAAGCCAAGTCTGGGAGCCAGAGACTATCAAGAATTCAGTAACAAACGATTCCTCGGAGAGGAGCAATCGAGACACCGAGGAGAAGGAATTGAGACTTTGAAGAGTCAGGACGGAACAGACAAACAGACGAGCTACGGCACAAATTTATCAGCACTAGACCGTAATACGTTTAGAGCACCCCACACGTTCCTACGGACGAAATAATTTCAACGCGACGCGTGGTAGCAATATTGAATATCAAAAACATGCAGTAGAAAATTCACTTTGTTATAACGTTCAAATGCAAAGAAATTTATTAAACCAAAATACAAACTTCGTGACCCTGAGAATGCTTTTTATAGTAACCTCAGTGTCAAATATATACCAATACCTCCTATCTCCTTAATTACCGATATTCTGATGCACCTCTGCAAATTCTCAACAGCTCTAAAGGTATTTTAGCTGCTCCATTTCTGTCGTTTGCACAATAAAGGAAATCCAAGGTTGTCGGATTATGGTACAGCAATACAAGATAAATAGTATACTTCACTGCTGTGTGCATGTGAAATTGTCCAAATACACCGCAAGCATAATACGTCATATCAAGGGACCATAATTGGACTACACTCAAAGGAAGATAAAAAAATGCAGCATGAAGTACTCCGAAATTTTAAGTGTAAAATTCAGAAAATGACACATTTTTTATTGCTTCCAGTTCTATTTCAGATTGGCGGCTTCGTTAGCAGAATTGTTTAAAACATTCTTTTACGCAATATCGTATATTCGTAGACTACAGTGCAACGAGCTTGTTGTCTTGGAAGGAAAGGAATTGTAAATTTATTTAGTCTCATGTTACATTCCCAAATTGTTTCACCAGTTACATTTGACAGGCATAAGGCAAAGCTTTTACTATCGTGGAGAAGACAATTTCAAAACCACTTTAAGTATTGCAAATAATTAAACTCTTCTTATACACTGGAAAATTAAACTAAGCATTTCGGTGTTAAGGGGAGTAAGAAATTAACCTTATATTCATATCCGCACAAGATTGTAGACATCTTTCGAGCCTGCTATAGTTCAACTGAGCAACCTTAATTGAAATATTATTCAACATGATCTTTCGCAATCATTGTGTCTTCCCATTAAAAGAAAATTGTTTTTAAGGTTATGAAATATCTTTCCATGAAGTAGATCGTTTATGTAACTTCTCCATTCCCAGCGTACATGTCTGCCACTTCTCATAGGTACATTAATATCAGATGGAATGACAACGTTAGGATTAGGAGCATTATTATTCTTTGGGATGACCGAAATAGCAGTTACTAAGTAATTTTTTTATAAATGTAAGTAAATTATCGATAAATTTCAGCGAAATTACTGAAAAATTATTATGTTCCTAGAAAGCATTAGTTCATAAATATTCTGGTCATGAATCATTAAGAACGATTAAATTCCCTTCTTCGCTTTAAAAACTTTATCGTTGATCCACTTTTCAGCGTGCTGAAAATGCTCTATCCACATTGACTTCTTTGAATTGTATCAGATGAATAATTATATATTTCTCTGCTATATATTGTATGAAATTTTGTACTTTTAGTCTGTAAAATTATGAAATAAAACATTATCATCGGTTAGATGTTCTCTTAGAATATGTGATCAAGTGCAAGTTGCTGTTAGTTCTTCTTCCACCACAAAAAATATTAATATTTAGCACGAAGATCACACAATTATGCTTCAGAAAGGATACTAAAGGAACGACTTCGACAGCTACATTTTCCAACATACTCAAATATTTGCTTTGCGTTATTCTAGTACCAAAGGTACTTCAAAATTTTCGTTAGAAAGGCTTTTACATTTACGAGACAACTGCAATATGTCAAACAAGGTGATCCATTGACATTTTCGTGTTATCTTCTTTGTTCTACCTTTTGTTCTATTTTCTTTGTTACTTTGTTGCTTTCATCCTTATCATGAATTTCCATGTATTCCCTTTGCTAACGAAAATACATGTAAAAACCCTTGTTAGTTCCGTTTACATAAATTATTAGTGAATGTTCGATACTACTAACTACTAACCGTTGAGTGCAATAAAGAGTTTGTTGTCACCATTTATATTAGTTGCCGGAACCCAATAGAATTTTCTCTTACAGGCAACGTTTACCAATGACCAAAGTATTACGGTTATTTGAACCGGTAAACAAAACCTAAATTACACTTTGGTTATTGATGATGGTTACTGCCGGCAAAAAATTGTTGCAATTTATATTGATAAATTACGCAAGGAAATGAATTTTATAAAAGTTAAATTACAGATAAGGATCTATTTCACAGCATGTTCTATGTGTCTTCAGTTGTGACAACATTACCATTGCGTGGGTATAGTTTAAAACATTCTTCGACGAAATGCACGTGATCACTGAAATTAGTATTACACAAATGCTTGCAGGTGAAATTTAAAATGTCTGTATGTTGCTTCAAACATCAAATTACGACACTACAATAAAATATTGCACTTAATTTTTGGCTGCTCAAAATTGTCTTTCCTCTCTATTGAATCTTACAATTAGGTTTAGTTATGTTAAGCTTAGAAATGTTATAATCTACGGCGCCTA